GGGGGGGGGGGGGGGGGGGGGGGGAGAACAAAGAAAAGCCACCTCCACATGAAAAGAAGTGGAAGAAAAAGATAAAAAAAGGAGGAAACTGATGTAACAGGCTGGCGGTGGATTAAATTTGAATGTCTTATTATCAAAGAAAGGGTTCTTTTCTTGTGGAAAATGAAATTATCTTGGAATTGAGAATTCTTGCCCGAATTCATTTAAATGTTGATAATTAAGATTTTCAAGTTTATGATCACTGTCGTTCTAACTTTGTCAACTATAGACGTGGATTGGTGATGACTTTTCTAATTTTTCTGTTGGCAGTGGTGTGGAACCCATGGGATAAGAAGGCAAAGGCAATGGCTGATTTTGGAGATGATGAATACAAGCATATGCTGTGTGTGGAGGCTGCTGCAGTGGAAAAACCTATCACTTTGAAGCCTGGTGAAGAGTGGAGAGGAAGGCAGGAACTTTCTGCTGTCCCTTCTAGTTATTGCAGTGGACAGCTTGATCCTCAGAGAGTTCTCCAGGGCAGCTGAAATATCCGTTAAGCTTGTCTATATCGTGTACAGGTACTTCACTGAATAAATATTACATCCATCTCAAATTGATCCATATATCTCTGTTCACTTGTTATCAGTTATCATGACAGGAAATTCTGTGTTGTGATCAGTGGATCACATATGTACCCTTTATTCGATATTCGTAGTAATAGATGCTCATTTTTGAGTTAATTCTTGATAATTGTCAATGTTTCCTGATTGTGTTCACCTTGATTTTTATATTGCTGTGCTGCCTTTTCATTTATTCATTTGCATGTGAACCTCTCTCTCTCTCTCTCTCTCACACACACACAAATTATGGACACTTTTAATCTTTTTGTCTATAGTTTAGTTTATTTGTTCCTTGCATGTTATTTTACAGTGGCTGGGCCCTTTGTACCCAAATGGTTGGTTTTTGGAACTTTTTTGCTTTGTTGACTTGACTTGAGTTTACCTATTCCTTTTCTGTTTTCTATGGTTTTCTGAATGATGAACTCTACAAGTGGAAAATTTCCACTTGTAACTATGTTTATTTGTTCATTAGACTTGAGCATGTAGTAGGTGTCATTGCGCTATCTTGACATGGTATCATCCAAAAAGCTTGGCTGTCTGCATAGTATCCCAGAGGTCAAATGTGCTATGATAATTGTTGTGTCTCAAGCAAATGCCTTGGTGACAAATTCTACATTGACAAAACCATTTGATATTTGTGCAAACTAGGAATAAGTTGAAATATGAATAATTGTATGCTAGGTTAAATAAAGGAAAGAGAAGAAGAAGAAAGGAAGAAAGAGAGCATAAAACAATAACGNAACCATTTGATATTTGTGCAAACTAGGAATAAGTTGAAATATGAATAATTGTATGCGAGGTTAAATAAAGGAAAGAGAAGAAGAAGAAAGGAAGAAAGAGAGCATAAAACAATAATGTGTGTCGAGTGTATGGTGCCAACACTCTTATCACCTATTTATATGAAATTGATGTTGAAGGCAATTACAATATTAGAAAGTAGAACATAATAGTAAAACAATATGACAGGAAAGTAGAACAATATGAAAGTGACATAATAGGGAAGTAACATTCTAACAGAATGCTTTAGCAATTTTGTAGTTCTGAGATTGTCTTGTCTAAGAAATTGATATTTTGCAAATCAGGGAAAGTTGCAGATATTCTGAAGCTGTGTGGTTATAGTATCTTCGAGAATGTGGAGTTGCACTAAAATTTCTTGATCGAAAACTCAAATTATGAGGAATAAATTCAACATATTGGATCTGAAACCCATTTGTAGGATGAGTCAATGTAAGGGCGAGTACTGTGGTATGTTTATTTCATCTTTGATTTACCACCATTTGGAATGTTTTCCTTAATGCTCAAGGTTTTACGTTAATCTCAGATATTCTTGTTCTGTGTGTTCATGTTCATTAGAGATTAGACAAGTTTTATGTTGATTATCAGCTACCTCAAGTAACCCTTCTCCTTTAGCTGGGTTTGGAACTTGTTAGTAGTTATATAAAAAATTTCGCATTAAACACACCATGATGGAAGTAGAAAAATTGAAATGATCATATTTGTTAAACCGTAGAAGTAGCACTAATAGGAGATAGATTAAGAGAGGAGGGACTATGTTAACAAAACTGTATTGGTGGTAATGCCAGAAATAGAGTTAGACCAGAATCAATTTTGAATGAGAGATTAAAAAAAGTATGATAGGTTGCCCCTTGAACAAAATATATGCTGCATAATAGAGCACAATGGAGGAGTAAGATTTATGTAGCCGACCTTAAATAGTTGACATTAGACTTTGTTGTGTTGAGTTGAAATCTTGTTGCTCTTGACAAATTTCTTTCTAAGCATCATCTACTGGTTGGCATTAGACCATAGTATTGCTTCACAAAGGTCAATAAGACTTGGGATGAATTGGTAGTGATTGGCAACACTATATTTGTAATGGGCGTATAGATGAATTTGCAATAATTTCAGGCAATCTCCTAACTAACATGATTCTTCCCTTCGATATTTGATGCAATAATTTCAGGCAATCTCAACTGTCTCGTCTTTTTGGTTGTTGATCAAGTGATTTAGATTCTGCGTTGTTGGTTTCAATTGCACCTCTTATTTATTGAGAAATGCGTGTTGCTTGTTTTGTTTTGTTAAATCATTGTCAGTTATTCTCTGGATTTGCTGACCTACCACACACATCTCGTGGTCCTTATTTTACTTCAGATAAGGAGTTGGTGATCTATTTCTGCAGGTGCTCTGTTGCAATATGCGGTTGGAGCGTGACAGCAACTTCTGGCAAGACTTTTTTTTGCCTTTTCTTTATTAAATTTCCTTTGCGTTGGGTGGAAACTGGACCCTGATTAGAGTTGTCAAACCATGTTTTTAATGGATGATTGTTTGTTAGCATATCAAATGCATGCATAGAATAGAATGGTGGGTGAGTATTGCTGTTCCGGTGGATGGTAACTTCAGATTCTTAAATTTGATGCACCCTTCTGGGCTGAGAGTAAGGAATTCTTTTGCGTTAGGGACTGTCTTTCCAGAACTTCAAATGATTTCGGGAAGCATGAAATGGTTGGATAAATAGTTGCCTTACGATTTTAGTCCTTCAGAATTTGCATTTCTTTTATAGAAGCACTTTTTTTTTTTCATTTTTAATTTAGTGACCTATTGGTCTCCATAAAACAAAGTAAAAATTGAGTCTGATTCTTCCTTAAGGGACATACAATGAGTTTAGTCTCTCAATAAAATTTATTTGGCGATAAGTTCGTTTTTAATTTTACTAATAAGTAGTTTGAGTCCACTATTGTTTTTAAACTCAAAAAATACCCTTTCTTAAAAGTAACTTTAAATTAATTTCTTAACTTGAAAATTGTTATTCTTTAATTTACTATTAATAAAGATATGCCAACAAATTTTACATAAATTTTAAATTCAAATTTATCTCTCTCTCTCTCTCTCTCTATATATATATATATATATATATATATATATATATATATAATACAGGATTTAGAAAAATTTGTCTTGATCTTTTTGGCGACTCATATCGTTTGACGATTATTGGTTCGACAGTTTTAATGCAATGCAAAATATCATTAAGCAAGATTTTCATTCTTTCCATAATTTTATGACTTCTATCTCTTTTATAATTCTTTATCTTTTCTCTCTCTCTCTCTCTCTCTCTCTATATATATATATATATATATATCTCATTATTTAATGCTCATGTAACTCACGTCTCTCTTAGTCTGCTCTCTCTCCTTCTTATATACTGTAACGACCAATATAAAAATTAATTGCTAACACAATAATTAGGTTGTTAATTATAATTCTATTTAATTAAAGATTATTTTTAGAAATTTTAAATAAACAAATGAATAATTTTTTGCTTGAAAACAAGTTGAATGACTAAAATGTAGGTCATATTTCAATACAAAATAAAAATACTATAATATTCGAATGGTATAATAGGTAAATAATATATATGTAATTTGTGATATATCTATATAATAAGGGAGTTAACATTGTTTGTCTTGATTTTTTCGAAGTTTAGATTGTCTCAAACTTAACTTTGCTTGAATTTTACCAGAATTCAAGTTGAAGTCAAATTGAAATTGATTGTAAAAATAAAAAAATAATTAAATTTTAAAAAATAATGGTGTCACTTTAAACGAGAATAAATAATAATTAGTTTGTAGGTTTAAAATAGAAGTATTAATTGAGTTGATCTTAAATTCAATTCTAGGTTTGACGTGATTACGATTAAGACTCGAAATTTGCAGACTTTAACTGTCGAGTTTAAAGTATAAATTCTTGCTTAAACTTAAATTCGATTGAATTTTACGAATATTTAAATTGAACTCAAATGGAAATTGATCTATTACTTGTAACGCCCCAAAAACCCCCGTGGGTGACATTACATTCTAAAAATCATTTACCGTATGAGAGCATTAAGTAAAATTCATCACGACGAAAGTTTCATTCATCAACCATTCATATTTTAACAAAATTTGGGCAGAGTCTTCTTTGTACGGGGAGCTCTACCCAAAACACAACCTGTACAATTATATTACAATTGACCACACCGGGTCCACATATGCATAACTATTGACCACACCGGGTCCATTTTTCCATCATAAAATAAACTTGCATTCATCATATGTCATATCCACACTATCATCCCAAATTAATAGGTCTAATCTTGGCCTTTACATCTCCAAAATGTAATAATATAACGCAGCGGAAATAACAGAAATGAACTAGAGTTCAAAAGGATATTCTAAGCATAATCTAGTCTAGAACAAAATAAAAGTGTCGCTCTAAGCGTCCACCTCGGGATCCACATCCCCGTCAAGCGGAGTCTTCCAATGGGTGGGCTCCTCGGCTCCTAACTCCTCCTCAAGTGTGAAATCTGAAAAAATTTTATTTGTAGGGGGTGAGCACGAAGCTCTGTAGCAAAATCCTCTCAACTCAAACAAGGTTTGAAAAACATAGCAAACGGTCGGTCTCATTTCACAACTAACATATATATAGGTTTGGAATGAAAACAGTGACATTTTAAAAGAGATCTCAAGTTTAAACAATAGCAATAATCAGTTAAAAGAATAAAGTGAGTTTAGCATCGATAAACAAAATTCTAATTTAAGCATTGTCCCATACCAATGCGTTTAAGCATTGTCCCATACCAATGCATCGGCAAGAACGACCCAACTCCCGATTCCATGTATTTTTGGTTCATCCCCGTACCATGTATGTTGATTGCTTCTCGTGAATCTACCTAACGATCATGCCTAGTCCACCAATTCCAACCAACAATCACAAATCTCTTTAGGAAGGGCGTGTACCGTCTCCTACGGCATTGACGAAATCCTCCCAAGGTGTCTAGTATACTAACCCTTTTCCTCGGTGTATATGTGAACAATAGTGATCGCGAGCACAACAACGATCCACTACGAGCATTAGGCAACCATCTCACCCCCCATTGGGATAAACTA